CCAGCTGCAACCTCTGCCTGAGCCATCTTGGCCTCCTGAGGAGACAAGTCACTGACCACCAGCCTGGCTCTGCCAGCAGCTCCTGCTGGGCCCTCGGGCTACTCCTTTCTGGGTCTCAGTTTTCCCTTCTGCAATAGGAAAGGAGAGACAGATGTTTCCTGTCCAATCCTGGCATTCTATGGGACTCAGGAGGGGCTGAACTCTCCCGTTACTGGAGGTCATCCCACCCAGGTCCCAGGTGGTCAACATCACAGCTGAAGCCTTGTGTGCAGCAGGCCCATTCAGGACCCCAGTTCTTTACAGGCAGTCCTCTCGCTGAGCCTGCCAGCCACACAGCATGGCCCAGCGATCAGATCCATTTGTCTGCCTCTTAGGCACAGAGGGGATGCCTTCATGGGGAGGCAGTAATAACCATTCCAAGGCACTTACAGTTTACTGATCACCTACTGTGTGCCGGGCACCACGCTGAGAGTTTTACAGAGATAATCTCATTTCTCCTCCAATGACTCTGTGAGATGATAGAAAATATCTAACCTCCATTTAAACAAACAAACAAAACTAATTACCCACCCCCACAAAAAAGAGAAAAAAAAGTGTGTGTATGTATGCATGTGTATATGTATATGTGTATGTGTGTGTGTGTTTATCTGCCTGCAGTTCCTGGCACAGAGGAAACTGTTGCAATTTCCTGAGTGATAAGAACACTACGTGCATCTTTTTTCTATTGAGGCATCTCTGGGTGAGCTCCCAGATGGGGATTGGTCATCAGAAAGACCACGCTGTGATTAGAAGCTTGGAATTTTCAGCCCCCGCCCAATTCTCTAGAACGAGGAGTAGAGTGGAAATGGAGTTAATAAATTGCCATGGTTATGTGAGGAAGCCTCCATAAAATCCCAATAGTAGGGAGACTGGAGAGCTCTCAGGTTGGTAAACTCACTCACACACTGGGAAGGTGACACACCCCAACTCCACAGGGACAGAAGGTCCTGTGCTCGGGACCCTCCCAGACCCCACCCTATGTACCTCTTCATCTGGCGGTTCATCTGTATCCTTTATCAGATCCTTTAACAAACTGGTAAATGTGTTCCCTGGGTCCTGTGAGCCGCTCTAGGAAATTAATAGAACCTGAGGGCCGGGGTTGGGGGGGTCATGGGAATCTCCAATTCGTACCCAAGTCTGTCAGAAGTTGTGCGTAACCTGGAGACCTGCTACTGGCAATTGGCATCTGAAGTGGGGAAGAATCTTGTGGGGCTGAGCCCTTAACCTGTGGGATGTGATATTATCTCCAAGTAGATAGTGTCAGAATTGAGTTAAATTGTAGGACACCCGGCTGGTGTCATGGAGAATTGCTTGGTGGGGGGAAAACCCACATGTTTGGTGACAAGAAAAGTCAGAAGCAAAGTATTCTGTGTGAGTAACAAAGGAGAACCAGAGGAGGCAGGAAACTAAATCAGTGTTTCCATTACAGGCTCTTTGAGGCAGACACTAGTATGAAACGCACTTTGTAGATGAGAAAATTGAGGCCTAGAGTGGTTAAGGGCACCATCCAAGGTCACACAGCTAGTAAATAGGAGACCTGGGTTTCGAACCTGTGTATTTCTGGCTCTGAAACCCATGTACTTAAGGGCCTAATAAGGTGTGGAAGTCCTAGAAGGGATAGTTGCAGGGCAGGGCCGGGGTAGATCAGGAAAGAAGCAGGATGGGGAGAAGGCCAAAGTGCCAGTGGGCAGCAGAGTGTTACAACTAGGGCAGGCACTGAGATGGTCCCTGAGCCCAAGGTCACAGAACACCATCATTAGAGGTGGAGTTGGGCCCAAACCCGCAAAACTTATTCCTCACACCAGGCTGCCTCACCAGCTGCCAGCTACACTGCAGTCTGGGGAGGACAATTCCTCCTCAAAGCTCCTCTGATCTTGTCCTAGAGACCCTCCCAACCCCACAGGCCCTTCTCTGCGTTCCCCTCCCCAGCAGCAACCTCCTCCAGCCCCCAGGGCACGCACACATGCACACACACACTGAAAACTTTCCCAGAAAGTTTGGGGTTAAAAGCCTCAGGCAGAAGACGCCCCCTTACCACCAGCACCCTCCCCCTCCCCCTGCCAGGCAAGATTCAGCCACTCTACTCCCCTGCTCCCATCTCACCCCTGTGAGGACAGCGCCAGCAATCAGTTAGCCTGTCTCCATGGTAACAGCTTTCAACGCTGAGGGCAGGTCCTGGGAGAGGAGGCTTCTGGGAAATGTAGTTTTATGCTACTACTGAGGCCTGGACCCTGAAGACCCACTGCTGCAAGTTCCTTGGCCAGCGGTGGGCTGGAGCCAGCTTGCTTGGGTCAGCTTGCAAAAGCTGACTGTTAAAACTTCAAGAATGTTTGTAAGCCCATTGACAAACACAGCCATTATTAAAATTTTAATTATAAAATCATAAGTAAATAGATTATATTAAAAACAAAGGTAATAAATATTCAAAACTCATCACTTCCTAATCATTTCACTGCATTTTACTATTATCTAAGCTCCTGAGGTTATTTATGTCTATTGTATCTGTACAATGAAAATACTATATAATGGTGAGCTACTCTGCATGTTTTTCCAACTTCTGTTCAGTGATGTCACATTGATAGCTTAACACTGGCCAGGAGATTATTTACACCACAGAAATTGGCAAATGCTCCAGATCAGGGCTTGTTCTCTCATCAGGTAGTTGTTTAACATTTACCAGGACACCACTGCTTCTGCCCTATGCGTGGTCAATGCAGTAACTGCAACTATATAACCCTGTGAGGATACCTGCAGTGTCCCTTTGGACCTCATGGGCCCTTTCCTTCAAAAACAAAACAGAAAAAATTATATTTTATGACTGTATTGGTACAAAAACAAATATAATCCTGGATGGACTCATAATTACATGTTCATTATCCATCTATTCATTTTTCCTTTGGAATTTAAAATAAATTAAAAAGAAACATTTTCATGGGCCACTCAGCTAATGCATAAGTTTTCTCTGTCCCATGAGTTATGTACTAAATCAGAGGTCCAGCCTGGACTAGAACCAGGACTCAGGCAGCCTGGCTCTGTCCACCACAACGGGGAGCCATGCCAGGACCCACGCTGGTTTCCATCTGTCTTGATGAAGGCTGCATTGACTATGCATGGGGCAGATAGCCAGTATCTCACTTAATCATCAGCCCTGTCGGGCAGCTACTGCCATCCCTGCTTTACAGGTTCAGCAGGTGAGGAATTGGTCGAAGGCAAAGAATTTGCACCAGGCAGGCTGACCTCAGAGTTCATGCTCTTAACCATGGCTCTTTCCACCTCCTAGGTTGCCACTGTGATGCTTCAATGACAGGAAAACCCCATCTGTCCACGCTGGACCTTGGAGTGTATTTTTGCCATCACCCTGCCTGGCCTCAGCATGTATTCAACTTGGCACTTGGAGCCACTCTTGCAGCGACCCCAGGCAATGAGGGACCCAAGCCCTTCTGCCCCTGACTGGCCCCAGGGTGAAGAGCCAGGCAGAAAGCAAGCACATCCCCACCATTAGCTACACTCCCATCTACAAATCTGCTTCTTCACCTGCACCTGGAAACCCAGCCCACTCGGCACTTGTGGCTTTGTTGATCCCCCATCCCACTGAGCACGTCTTAGTAGGAAAGGCAAGAAAAAGCCACAGCCCAGAGTTTCCCCTGAGACTCAGGGGTCAGGGAGGAGTTGAAATCTCTAGAACCCAGGGAGGACCCAGCTCCAGCACCAGCCCAGCTTGCACGGTGGCCTTGGCCAGGTTGCTGGGCCTCCCCAGGCCTCCATTCCCTCCTCCCCACCCAGGGCTGGCCCACTTGGCAAAGCTGTACAAGGAATCTGGAAAGGAGCTTTAAACTTCACGTCCTCCTAGTTTACAAACAGGCTGCAGAGGCTCACAATTTACTTTACACTTGGTTCTTCTTTAGGCCCAGGGGGACCTTGGGGAGCCAACTAACTCTTGCTGACTCAGTGCTGAGCACTTTACTTTTATCGCCTCCCTTAAATTAGCTCTCAGGACGAGGCAAGGACTTGATGATGCCCATCTTACAGAGGGTGAAACTGAGTTTCAGAGAGGTGCAGTCACAGGCCAGGGTCACACAGCCCCTGAGCAGCAGAGCTAGGATTTGATCCCAGGCCTGTCAGATGTTGGAGCAGCTGTTCTTCTGAAGACAGATTACTAACCCTGAGACTTTGGCGTAAGGGAGCTGAGACCTTCAGTGTGAGAAATAGATGTCTATAATGTTAAGCCTTCAAATCCACCAAGTCTATCCACAAAGACAGATAATGTGGCTCAACTGTTGTAATGTCCACACTCTTAAGATTTCCCTTCCAGGAACACAGAGACTTACATAAAACAAGGGCTGGGGCTTCCTGTCTTTCATGGTTTGCTAGGTGGGAGGAGGGAGAAGGGGAATCCAGTCCAGGGCATCTGCGGGGAGGAGGCAGGTAGGTAGCCAGGGGCTGTGAGGAGGGTCTGATAGTAGTAAATTCTCACCTGCAAAAGCTGCTCAACAAAGTCTTCAAAGCACTCTGGGAAGGGTAGGGGTTGGGCAGGGAGGGTGGGGATTGGTTAGGGAGGGTGGGACGTCCTCAGGAGTAAGTTAAGGCTAGAGGGGGCCACCAACAGGCTCGGTGGGTCCGGGTGGGTGTCCAGGAAGGCAGATGGATACCAGTGCCCTGCCTTCCTGGTCAGGCCAGGCCACGGGGGAGATGGGGTGTCTTATTGCATCTCTCTCTCTCTCTTTTCTTTCTTTGTGTCAGTTTATCGGTTAATCCTTTCTTTCTCTCTATCTCTCACCATCTGTCTTTGTATCTCTACCTCTATCTCTATTGTCTCTGCCTCTTTTTTGTTTCCTACCAAGGAAACCAGTGGTTGCAAAACTAGGCCCAGCCACTGGAAATGACAAACTCAGTTAGGTCTGATCTGAGGCCCTCCAGAGCTCAGGGCCCTGTCAGGCTGGTGCCAAACTCACACATCCATCTAGCTGGCCAACAAATATTTATTCAGGGCCTCAGGCTGGGCTGAACCGGTGAGGGAAGCTGTCAAAGTGCCCCCCAACCCTGTTCTATAGGACTCAGATTCCAGAAGAAACACCCACCCTCTCTCTGCTCAGCTCAGCCCCCCTGCACTGGCTCCTCGCCCTCAGATACATGGAGCCCGAACCGTCTGTCCTCCCCCCACTGGGACAGCAGCTCAGAGGTCAGGCCACCCAGGGGGCGGTCAGAATGGGGACTGGAGGGCCTGCTTGAGGTATACCACCCACTGAGTAAGTGGCATTCTTTGAAATTTGGTGCCCCAGGACAGCCCCCAGGACAGTGGAGGCTCTTCCTTGAGGATGGGCCCTGATGGGAGTGGCCAAGACCAGGGAAAGGCTGGATGGGAGGACCAACTGCCTCCCAAACAAACCTCTAGGCAACAACTGCCCTGGTACCTGAGGCGAAACGGCTGCCTGAATGCCCCCTCAGGTGCAGGCAGCCAGAGGGTGGAGCAGAGGGAGGGCAGTGAAGGGGAAGGAAGGAAGGGGAGCGGCTGGGGGCTACTTCAAGAAGCTGGGCCAATGACAGACTTCCTCATTTGGGCTCAGGCTCTTTCTGAGACCAGAAGATGGTGACGCAGAGAGAGACTGCTTTGTTCTGAAGGCAGGCGGTGGGCGTGGGGGCGGGGTGAGGGTGTTACTCTGTCCCGGCGGGGGTCTCAGGATTATGGGGACTTTAGACTCATGCCATCCTGGATTTGTGAATTCTCAGATCCATAGGTGTGTCTGGATAAGACCTTTGAAGCCACGTGGTCCCCCTTTGTTCCCATCCCTTTGTTCCCCAGTCACACTGTACAGAGGAGGACACTGAGGCCCAGAAGGAAGCAGGGAGCCCCGAGGTCACACAGCAAGTCACAGCTGAGTCCAGAGCACAGGGCCAGCCCCACCTGGCCACCTGGCAGCCCCCTAGGCTTGAGACATGGTGTGGGCTTGGTCAACTCGGGCAGTGCCAGAAGTCGAGGTCGTGGTGCTCCGGCTTGGGAAGTAGAGAACAATAAACCAGCAGAAGATGAAGATGCCTGTCAGGGAGGAGAGGGGCTTGGTGAGACTGGGATGGGGCCTGGACTGGCAGCTGCCCAGAGGAGAAATAGCTCCACTGTAAATGTTCAAGAATTTATAGAAAAATCAGGCAAAAAAAAAAAAATGAAACCTACTCCTGAAAAGGAACCAAATAGGTCTCTCTGGAATAAAGACTACAGTCCCTGAAATAAAATCTCTACATTCATCTATCACAGAAAAGAAAGAACAAAATAAAAGAATTTTAATACGTACAAAACAACTACCACTGTCCCTCTTATAAAGGATTATTACAGGATGTGCGTCAGCAAGAAGAAGAGGGAAGGTGTGAGGTTTAAGAGTTGTAGTAAGTACAGCAATTGATAGAAAAGTAAAAAACTTTGTGTCTTTAAAAGAAGTTTAAACTAAAATTTAAAAGAAATTTAAACAACAATAAAAGATATTGAGAAGAGTTCAAAGGCAGTTAAAGAGGATTGAGGGCTCTGTTGCGTTTGGGAGGAAGACAGAAGTACCGAGTAGCTCACACTCAGTTGAGAAAACACAATGTGGTTAAGTGTTCAGACTTAACCATTCCAGGTACCCTCTGAAAGAATAATGATGTAATCTGCAGCTTCAAGGTGCATCTCTCCCCAAGTCTTAAGCCCTGGGACCTTTCAGATGTGGACTCATGATTCTTCATCTGGGGACAGTCTCCATTTGCCTAATAATAATGATTCCCACTGTCATTAACATTGTTCCCATATATTGAAAGCCTACTGTGTCCCACACACACACTATTTCAGTTACTCATCGTGAAATCTGGTGAGAAAGATACTGGAATTATCCCAACTGTACAGAAGACTGGATCAGAGTTGCTTAGTGACTTGCTAGGGTGGTGAGTGGAGGTGGGATTCAAACCCAGGTCTGCCTGTCCCCAGTGCTGCCAGTCATGATGTCATACAGTCTCATAGGACCCCTGGGTTCCTAGTGACTGCTCTGGAACAGGATGAGACCAAATCAAAGCACACACTGGTCATTCCCCTTTTTGGATGTTTCCCTCACAGTCGGGCTGTGATGCTTCTTTAAGTTGCGTGTATGAAGCAGGTGTGTGAGGAGCAAAGAGGACAGGTGCAGGCAGGGAAACCATGTCCCCCACACACCCTGGGCATCTGCCCCTTTGCTGGGTATCACAGGAAGGACCCTATAGGGGAAGGGAGCAAACGTATCAATCATTTCCTCCACTAATCATTTCCTTCCTGCCTCCACAGTTCCTTTGAGACTGTCATGTCATGTGGCCATCACATCATATGGCACTGCCCTCCTGGTCACAGCTGATTGGACCAGAGATGGACACCTAACCCAAGATGGCCCAGTCAGATCCTTGACTCTCCTAGGAACGTAGAAGAGACTGAACCAGGTGGTGGTTGTTCACTAGACTTGGAAGGTCACATAGGGATGAGGGGGCCATATTGAGCCATGGGTAGGAAATGGGCCAGCAGAGAGAAGAATGAAGAAGTTTCCATAGAGAGAGGAAGGTGAGACACTACACGTGACTCCAGAGAAAAAGTTGGAGAAACTATCTGCTTTGGTTTTGGTGGCTTTTCCTGAGCCTGGTACCAGCTCTCATGAGGTCAGCCAGGCTACCTGCTGTGGGGTCCTTGGGAGAGCCCTGGAGATTTAAAATCAGTACCTTTGATCTGAGCTGGCCTGACTGGAATCCTGTTTCTTGCCACTGACCCCTCCCTGCAACACCCCCTGGCACAGACAAGGCAGCCCACCACCTCCCTGGCCCAGGAGCCTCACCTTGCAGAGAGGTGAACAGTGCAAAGACATAGGTGGTGGGCAAGCCCAGGGGTGTGAGGATGGCCAGCCCCCACGTCACACCTGTCAGGCTCGAGAGGCCCAGCAGGGTGAGGACCCCCTTCCAGGTCTGCCCTCTCTCCTTGCCCGCTGTGGCACTTGACAGGGTGAAGATCTTCCAGGCCACCAGGGCCAGAATCACAGCGCTGAAGAGGAAAATGATGAAGAAATAGCCGTGGACGGTGACGTAGAGGGCAGAGATGGCAGTGTCCTCACGGAACCAGCAGCTGGAGAAGGTGGATGGCCGTTGGGGCTGGAAGGAGTACCTGAGAGCCAGCCCCGGCAGCATCCCCTGCCTGACCTTCTCTGACCAAGAAGATGGCTTCCCCAGCCTCTGTCCATCTATCTCGGGAAAGGAGCTGTCCCGAAGCTCCAGGCTACTGTGTCTTTAGAACAGTGAGCACAAAAGAGCCAATTTGGTCCCAAAGACATGTTTCCTTTGCCCCACATTATGTTGTTAAAAAAAAAATTGAATGAATGAATGCCCTTTAAAAGGTGGAATAAACATCTAGATTTCTGCTTCTCTGATAAAACCACACATCCTCCTGAGGGACAGTAATCAGCTGCCCTTTAGACTGGCATGTGACTGCCAGTCTGCTGCTGTCCCCACCCAGGTTGCTGCAGGCACTTATGTTACCCACCCAGCTCCTACAGCCCCTGCAGTTGAGGCTCTGGGGACAGGACCAAGGCCTCACCAGCCCATCTTAGCACAGAGCCTGTGCAGGTACCCAGGGAGAGGCTCAGCTCAGCCCACTGCTCCCTGCCCTGCAGGAGTGAAAGGCCCCAATGAACATGTGGATCAGCCTCCTGTTGTACAAATGAGGAGACCCAGGCTCTGGGAGGTGACGGGCTTGCCCACAGTCATATAGCAACTCAGAGGCAACTCAGCTCTGGATAGAACCAGAGCTGCTGCAAATATGGGACAGGTTGTGCCTGGCACAAGGGCACCTGGCTTGGGGGCAGGTGGGGGCAGGTGGGGGCAGGTGGGGGCAGGTGGGGGCTGAAATCCAGCTCGCCTGCCACTCACCAGGCTGAGCACCCAGCTTGGTAGGTCAGAGGGATGGAGGGTACCTTTTAAAATTTGCCCAAAGGTGTCAGTTGGGCTGGTGGTGACCCAGGCTCCTGCCCCAGTGCTCTCTCCTTCCCTCGCCTCTCTCATTGTACTTCCTCTCTCCAGGCCTCAGTCTACCCCTCTGCGCTATGAGCCAGCTGGAGCTGAGGATCCTCTGCCTTGACTTACTCGTCTCTCTTCCCAGGATTCCCTCCTCTCCTCACCTCCCTCTGGCCCTGATCTGCATCCCCAGGGCCCTGAAATCACCCCTGCTCCCACAGCGGCCACTCACAGCTCCAGTGTGGTTCTGTTCTCCTTGTCACGGATGGCGTAGGGGCCATAGCTGTTGGCGCTCCCGGTGCCAATGACTATTAGGGCAGGCAGGCCTGGGGGCAGAGGTGGGGGGAGGTGTGGCATTGCTGGGGCTCCTTGGCATGTCCTCCTCCAAACCCCCTCCAGCTGTGCATCTCTTGACCTCTGAGCCCATCAGAGAGGGAGCTGCCTCTCCCCGCTAGGCTGGCCTCCTTCCTGCCCCTCCCAGGGCCAGCCAGCCCCTCTGCCAATCCAGGCGGCACCTACCCCAGCCCAAGAAGCTCAGCTTCAGGAAGTAGTGGCCGAAGTAGGTGTTAAAGACCTTGATGACAAGCAGGTAAAGGTGGAAGGTTTCCAGGCCCATCCAGGTGAAGGCACAGAGCAGAAAGTAGTGGAAGATGGCTCCCCGGGCCCAGCAGGCGGCATTGGACCCCCTCAAGCCATTCCCCACATTGATGAAAAAAGCCAGGTTCAGGAGAAACAAACTGACACTCAGGGCCACGTGGATCTTAGGGGCATCTTCAGACTTGAATCTCTGCCGGGAGAATCTGGAGCAAGGAAGGCCAGCGAGAGGTTGTAAGGAACACCCAGGCCTCTTCATTCAGCCTCCTCTGTTCCACCACTGCCAGCAGCCAGGGTGTGAGCCCCCTCTGGTTCAAGTCCAGGAGCCCTCTTGTGACCCTCAGGGCCCTGTGGATTCTGGATCCACACTGGCCTCATCCTTTGACTTCGTGCTTGAGCCAAACTGTGTAACTTGCGATTCCCTGAAAGCATTCTGCTTCTCCACACCTCCCAGACTTTGCCCACGCTCTCCCCTCTGCTCCTAATGCCTTTCCCTGCTGCACCTTCCAAATTCCCCTTGGGTGTTTCATCTGGGAAGGCTGTCACTGAATGCCGCTTATCCCAAGCTAATTTGGAAGTTTCCCAGCAGTGCAATGTAACTCTCCACCCTCCCCTTGTTGCTGCCTCTCCCTGTGCTGTGACCTCGGGCCTGGCTCAGCAAGGTGCATTGGCTGAGTGAGTGGACAGACAGGGGATGGATGCGCAAGGCCCAGGACGCAGTAGGGAGGGTGAGGCTCAGAGAGGGACAGGGACACAGAGTCACAGAGCTGGGCAGGGGCTCCAGGCTCCCAGCCCAGGGCTCACTTCCCTCTCTGTGGAGTTTTCACTCTGACTTCCTAGAAAATCAGATCCCAAAGGGCTCTCACTGGAGGGATTGCAGCTCAGGGCTGCCTGAAGGGGGTTGGGGGATAATGTCCACCTCACCTGAGATGCCAGGCCCCACCCTTGGGAGTTGGTGACAATTCCTTCTGGAGCTCCAAGCCCAGCTCACAGGGTCCAGCAGTGCAGCCCGCTGACAGGTCACGCTCAGTGTGTTGGGAATGGAGGCAGTGTCCTAGGCCAGGGCTTGGGGGTGGTGGCTGGGGTGATACCACTTACACTCACGGTTCAGTCTGAGATGGACTAGGTGGGGCTGGTGGGGGCTGCAGCCCAGGGCCGGATGGTGCCAGCATGTGGAGAAGGGCAGTAGGAGGGCCCTGGGCTGGGAGTCAGGAGACCAAGGGCTGCTTCAGGTTTGTCATGGGCAAGGAGGCTGGGGAACAGGCAGGCCAAGCATAGGGCCACTTCCACAGTCCCCTCCAGGCTGGCAGCTCCTGTGGGTCCCTCAGCTATGGCCGGGGCCTGGGAGAGCCTGGGCATGGGCTGCAGCAGTTTCTGCCTGTCCTGCACCCACTCCTCCTTCTTCCAGAAACAGCCCCAGGTTTCCCTGAGGAGCACCTTCCCCCACACTCAGCCTTGCAGTTTGGGTGCAGTTAGCCCTTGCGTTAGCTCAGCCTCAAGAGCAGACACATGACCTGGCTTGGCCAGCAAATGTGATTCACACCTTAAGCACAGTGGCCTGTTCAGCCAGGGGCACGTTGTGTTAGTTAGACCCGACTCTGGTATCCATGGGATGAAACTGCATGGAACTGCGCGTGTGCACACACACACGGCCAGCTTGCTTCCTGGGGTGTGTGACCTCTGCAGGGCCCTGCACTCAGAAGGGCTCAGTGCTTGTTTTAATGCTCTGTTGTCGCCATCTTGAAATTCTTAATAATGTTTGAACAAAGGGCCACATATATTCATTTTGGACTGGGCCCTACGAAAGATATAGCCAGTCCTGTGTGTGTGTGTGAACATGCGCGCGCGCACACACACACACACACACACGTACACGTACACACACAGTTGAATGCGTGTGGAAAATGGTGAAAATGGAACGAGCTCTGTGTTCTCGTCAGCAGCACTGTACCAACGCCAGCCTCCTGCTTTTCTCCCGCACTGCAGTTGCAGCAAATGTCAGCGCTGGGGAGACAGGATGCAGGAGTCCTAGGATTCTAGGTACTATTTTTGCAGCTTCCTATTAGTCTATAATTATTTCAAAATTTTAAAAAAATTTAGAGACCTCAGTTCTGGGGCTTAGTTTAGAATATTAGCTGTCTAGGCAGCTAAGAGGCTGCGATGCAAGCCTGGGGCTCCCCAAAGCCCTTGAGGGTGGAGAAGTTACCTGGCATGACCGACAAAGGGGAAAACAAAGTTGTGAGAGGCAGAGGGACACTAAGTCCTAAGGACATCTTTTGAGCCCCTGGATCCAACCACGCCCAAAGTTTTTGGGTTTTTCAATTGCACGGACCACACATTCTCTATTATGTTTAAACCAATCTGAGTTTCTGCCACTTGTAACTAAAATAGCCCAGGCACATTCCAGCCTCCAATCCCATTTTACAGATGAGGAAACTGAGGTTTGGAGAAAATATCAGTATAAGGCTGCACCAGCAGCACTGTTTTGTGGTTACTACCCTGCCTGGCTGCTGCCCTTGAGGGCAGGAGGGAGATGCGGGGTGGGGACAGGGGTGACCTACCTCAGGAAGGCGTACAGGACAATGGTGAAGGCCAGGAAGATCATGGAGGTCCCACAGCCAGCCTGGGAAATGAGTGTGAGGGCCTTCACGGTGGCCTGGTCCAAAACCGGCCTCTGTGGGTGATCGTCCGGAACAAGGGCCCCATCAGTTGGAGGCCAGGCCCACATACCCCAGAGGCC